TGAGCTGGGGCAGCGGAGCCGGCTGCGCGCTGCTGACCGACAATGCGTGACGGACGGTGCCACGCTGTACCCTGATATGTTCTGCACCGACTCGAGCGACGCCACTCTGCGGTGCACGTCTGATCGCCAGTCGCTGGGGACCTGCGCAATTTACCAGGACGATAACATCCCACCGGAGTTCCAGTACTTCGCCACCAAGCAGGGCTCCAGGCGAGGGGCCATGATGGAGTACTGCCCCTTCATTGCGCCAATGAATGGCACAGGGTGCATGGATGGCGACGAGGCCATCATGCCTGGGAGCGTTGTTGGCCCGTCCTCGCGCTGCTTGACTGGGGAGAACCTTCGGATGGGCAGTACGGTTGTTGGTGACGTGTGCGTGCAGTTGAGGTGTGGTGAGGGCACGCTAAGTGTGCGGTACAGGGGCAGCGAGGAGTGGCATCCCTGTGCACCGGGACAGACGCTGACGCCCCCGGCGCCATTCACGGCGGGCAGCATAAGATGCCCCTTGTTCAGCGATGTCTGCCTCACCATGTTGAAGCACAGTGATGCGAGCAGCACCGAAGCGGAAAGCCACCCGAAACACCTTGCGATGATCAGAAATAACGATGGCAGCGCTCTGGCGGTCACTTCTGCGCCGCCTCTTCTCCTCCTCTTCATTGTGATCGGCACGGTGATTGTCGCACCCTGACCCGTACCTGTTGCCGACACCGCACCTCCCCTGCTCCATTGGGCCTCTCTTGGAATCCTTTTGCTATAGGAGCTCAGACATTTTCTTTCTTTTTTTTTTTTTGTGTGTGTTTTTTTCTATTGTTTCTTTTTTTATTGTTTCTTTTTTTTTTGTTTCTTTTTTTTTGTTTTGTTTCTTTTTTTTTTTTTTTTTATTGCTTTGTTTCTTTTTTCTTTTTTGTTTTCTTTTTTTCCTTTTTTTTTTTATGTTTTTTATTGCTTTGTTTTCTGCCGCGGTGAGCCAAAGTCTTTTCGCCCTCTCCCGGCTACAAGAGTGCCTGTGACTTCTCATTGGCCTCACCGCCCGGCGGAGGACATTATGTAAGGTGTGTGTAGGACGTTTGCTTTGGAAATGACCGGTGCTGAAGTCATGCATCCCCTCTGGCTGTGGTGCTTCTTTGTGTTCAGAGGCGTGTTGGCGGAGCGACAGCGCAGGGAACTGACTTCTTCCCCATTTCCCAATATTTTTCTTTTATTATTATTATTATTATTATTATTATTATTATTATTATTATTATTATTATTATTATTATTATTTTTGCACTGCGACATCCCGTGAAAACGCGCCGAGGGTTTTGAAAGAAGTCTTTTTTTTCGGTGATGGCGGAGGCACCTGATAATAGGTTTTTCTTTTTTTCTCTTTTGTGGACGGGCACCGAATGAATGTGCGGGTGTTTTACTTCCTTCTTGTTGGGCTCACTGGGGATGTGTCAGCGCTCTGGGGCGGTAGCTGTGTTGTGTTTTTGGAGTGGAGGCGGGTCTTGCCCGATTGCCTGTTTCTTCTTTTTGTTGCCTCTCTTGTTGCTTAGGATGTTTTACTCGGCTGCCCTCTCGCGGGATGGACCGGCCGTTCGTTTTTTCTTGCCTCACTGCCACCAGCACCTCTGCGGCGTGAGTGCTGCCTCCCGATGCTGACGGCCAGCGAAAACACAGGCGCCGTGCTTGCAACGATCACTTCGCCTGCACCTGTGCTGCCCCAGATCCCACGGCCATTGCGCAGAGGGGAAGGAGTGCTGAGAGTGCGTGAGTGGAGCGTGCTCCGTGGGTGAGGCGGCGGCCGTATATCATCATTTCTGTGCCGTGACTGTCTCAATCGGGCCCACAAGAGCAGCACCGACGGCGTGAAACGCACAGGGCGGCTGACAACTTCATGATGCGATCAATCGAGGCATTTGTATGACCGTGACGATGAATTACATCTCCGTGCACCCAGCCACCTACAACAGGCACGGGACTGACGCGCCCCTTCCCTCCACGGCCCTCTCCGCCGCTTTCTCCCTCTCTGTCTCTCTGTGCCACGGTGCACCACCTCGCCTCCTCCGTCGTGCCGGAGTGTGCTTTCCCGGGCTGTGGCTGGCCACTGTTTGCCCCCTTGTTTCCTATGGGGGTCTGCCGTGCATGTGATGCGTCCCGATCGTCTTTATCCTAACAAAGCGTCTGACTCCTTTGCGTGAGGTGCACTCTGTACCCGTCTCTGATGGCATTGCCACCCCCATTTTTTACCATCGCGCAGCCTCCGGAGGGGAGTCTTGCCGAGTTGCGGAGAACGACACACTCCTGCTGGCGGAGGCGGACCACACGCCACTGCGACCGAAAGCCATTGATATCCCGCGGCATTTGGACGGGTGTGTGCCAACAACTGGTCGCAAAATGATTGTGCGGTACACAACTGTGGAGTGCAAAGAGGACTGCGACGGATTTGCGTCGTGCTCGACTGCTGCTTTTGCCCTGCGCGTGCCTGTTTGTGTTGGTGCCATTTTATTTCTCTTGTGTGTTTGTTCTATTCTCGTCTTGTGCGCACTTTCGCTGTGCATGCAGGAATAGTTTTGAACGCTAGAAACAAGCTACTCACAATGCTTCGCCAGCTTCGCCAGCTTTGCTGCGCGCTGCTCCTGTTGCTGTGCACCGGTGGCGGCCTCGTCATTGCGGTGCCGCACCATTGCGTGTTTGATCGCCTGCCACGGAACGTTGGCGAGGTGACGGGCGGGGAGGAGCCGGCCAGTCCTGTCACTGTGTCCGTGGGCAGTGACTGGGCGCCCCTCCGAATCAAGGTGTTTGCGGATGACCTGGAGGGGTTGGGGGGATTCTGCACCAGGGCCGGGGAGCATATAAACATGTTTTTTGGCAAGGAGATGGTCTGCCAGGAGGAGGACATTCTGACGGAGGAGAAGGTGGACATTCTCGAGAACGTGATTCTTCCCGAGGCGGCGAAGATGCACGGCGAGCGTCTGCTGGTGCGGCCGCTGGATGGCCCGCTGGTCGTGCCGAGGTTCCGTGAGGGCAGTGTTTGCGGGAAGTTTCCTGTGCCGGAGGAGCACCACACGGATGGGGTGCCCGATGCGGACATGGTGCTGTACGCGACTGCTGTTCCGACGTTCAAGCCGACCTTTGCGTGGGCGATGCCGTGCGCGACGTTGGGCCCGCGAGGGCGTCCTGTTGTTGGCGTCATCAACTACAACCCGCGCCACATCGAGAACACGTCGCAGCACATCCGCGTGGCTGTGCACGAGATGGCGCACGCCCTCGGTTTCATTGTGACGGACATGGAGGGGCAGGCGCTGGTGAAGCGGGAGGTGGGTGTGCGTGGGAGGAGCAGTGTCCACGTTGTGAATTCCCGGAATACGCTGGAGCAGGCAAGGCACCACTACGGCTGCGAGTCAGCGCCGGGCATGGAGCTGGAGTTTGCG